ACATTGTGAGAAATGAACCTGTGTCTTACGATCAGCTTGTCATAGTTTAATTGGTGCCTCGGGGGGTACCTTAGAGTGAAGAAATATGATCATTTTAGAATTTGAAGTCTGATATGAAGGGGGAGAAACTTGGTGAGGAGACCTTGCTCTCACATATCATGTGTATTATTGCGTGCGCAGGTTTTTGAAATACGGAAATAGGGAAAAGATGGCTCAGGAGCTCAAGTACGGGGACATTGTGGAGAGACACCTCATAGACGGGGATGTGGTGCTGTTCAACCGGCAGCCCTCGTTGCACAAGCTGAGCATCATGGCGCACCTGGTGAGTGCGGTTCTGGTCCTATTTTCTGTGGAGTGGAAATACGCTGTCAACAATGCTAAATTCCAAACTTCTAAAATTAAAATTGCCAGTAATCTCTGATTTTCATAACCTGCTTTTCCTTTCCTCTCACTTTTTAATTTGAGGGAAACTTAAATTTCAAGCTTTTCTTCAATGTTTTTAATATTTATAATGTAATATTCATACACTTAAACAGAGAGGAACTAATTGAAAATTAGTGTGAAAGTGACTAGCATGATTTCACTTGCAAACTAAAATATATACATATATATGTGCACAAACTTATGTAAAATAGATATAAAAAATTGACTTTTGATTTAACTTAGCATATTAACTAAGAAACTAAAATGCTTAAAATATTTTTCTTTGCAGTAGTCCTCCAACTAAGACCCTAAACCATATTTTTTTGGTGATTCCGTTTTTGCAACAGCAGCAGTTTCTTTTTCTGGAAATTTAAAATGGAAATGAGGTGCAACTTTAATTTGTTAAATATTCATTAATTCTCCCATCTTCAAAGCCATTGAACCATGAGCATTTGTAAACAGTGTTTAAACAAGCTCTGAAAGTCGGGTTTTTCTGGATTCCATTTTTCAGTAGTTTGTGAATATATTGCCTAACAGTGAAATACCAAAGCAGCAGTTTATGATTAATGAGGATATGATTATGGGATCTAGGGGAAACAGAAGCCTTCCTTTTCTAGAAGCTTCTGCTTAGCTTTGGAACATTTTTTTAAAAGAAATTTTTAAATATTTAAAGAATACTGTTGTGAACTCTCATATTCCCATCCTCTTTATGTAGTTTTCTTGATTTGGCCTCACTTGTATATCTTCCTCTTTTCTTTGATGAACCCAGATGCCATGTCTTTTTCCATGTGTATTCAGTTTACTGTGTAAGGCACACATAGTAACCACAGTGCCACTGTCACACCTCACAAAACGAACAGTCACTCTTTGTCAGTGTCTAGTGCCCAGTTCACAGTCAGATTCCCTAAACAAACTAAAAACTTGCAGCTAGTTTGTTCGGATCAGGATGCAGAGTCTACATATTACATTTGGATGATACGTATCTAAGGTCTCTGTTGATCTGGAACAGTCCTCCCTCCTTTTTTAAGTTGTAATGTCATTGTTGGAAAAACCGTGTTATTTGTCTTAGAGAATGTCCCATGCTCTCAGTTTGTATAGGTATGGAGTTAAGTGTTTCTTCATTCTTCCTGTATTTCTGTAAACTGGAAATTAGCTCCCAAGACGTGATCAGATGCAGGTTCAACTTTTTGACAAGAATGACTGTGGGTGGTGCCGGCTACTTTCAAGAGGGCTTATTTGAAGAGGCACATGTTATCTGAATGTCCCATTCTTACTTAAGCTGAAAAGTTTAAGGATTCATCTGATGTCTTCTTTTAAGGCTCCTCATCAACCTTTCTGCTAATAGTTTTGTTCATTTATGATCATTGCCTACATTATTTCATTAGGGCTGCAAAATGGTGAAATTAATCACTTATTTCACATTTACTACAAAGGATTCTTGTACTAAAAAAGTAGAGCTATCTGCTTGTCTAGAAATACAATTCATAAAGGAAAAGCAGCCCAAATACCTAATTCTTTTTCCTTTATTTTCAGTTTAGGAAGTAAAATGTTGGTGCTCAGTTACTTCCCATTCGGTTGGTTTAGATTCTTTATTTGCTTATTTTGGATTTCTCTTCCTTCATTGTCATTATAAACTCATCGGTTTATGTAGTCTGTATTTTTAATTAACTGCCATAAATTTTACTGATATCAAACTGTGATGTCATGGGCCGGGGGCCTTCATGTGGCTCCAGTGCTGGTGTTTGCCTCCAGGGGTAAAACAAGTTCCCACATTGGCCATGGTGAGTGAGTCCACAGGTGAGTGAGTCACTCGAGAGAACACACTAGAGATTTATTTTCTTAATCTACATTTTCTGGTTTTCCATGAAACCATCCTCCTATATAATAAAGAGGTAATATGCTAATTAGACCAAACAGCAGAATGACCATCCAGGAGACCTTCCAGACGAAGCCAGGGCTGTGAGGACCGAGTCCTTTGCACAAATTTTGTGCATCTGGCCTCTAGTTTTTTAATAACTAAGAAGCTTTTGGATCATTGACTAAGCCCTCCTCTTGTTTTGTGTTCCACAGGCCAGGGTCAAGCCCCATCGGACCTTCAGATTTAACGAGTGTGTGTGTACACCCTACAATGCAGATTTTGATGGCGATGAGATGAATCTTCATCTTCCACAAACAGAAGAAGCTAAAGCAGAGGCCCTTGTTCTAATGGGGGTACGTAGAGTGGGGCGGCCCCGCTTGTAGCTCCATGAGGGTAGGAAAAGGGATCGGGCCCTGTTGGGAAACACCTTCTAGTATGTGAGTTGGTGTCTGTGATAGGGGTTTATTGGGGGGAGGTGATGTTTCCTGACCTATAATGTTGGTTCCTGAGAGGAAATGTGTATATGAGCACCATTTATGAAAAGATGAGAGAGCGTAGCAATCAGCTGTTGGGTATCATGGGAAAAGATGGTTCTGCATACATGGATTTTCTAGTAGCTAAAGATTCTTTAAGCACCAATATATTCTATTGAACATTCTGAATGGAAACCTTCCCAAAATGTAGCAATACTTCCTTGTCTTCTGGAGGGCACACTAAACAGTTGTTTTTGTAATGACTCGTATCACCATTTTATTATTAACGGGTAAGGAGTGCCCATTGGGTGCCAGGGGAGGCCGGTGATGAGTGAGGCCGGTGCCTGGTCCTGAGGAGTCACAGTTGGGCTCTAACTCTTGCGCTGTGTGTGCTGTTCGCTCCTGAACCCGCCAGGCCCGGGTGCCTGCTGGGTAGGCTCTTCCCTCCTAAGCTGAATGGTCCTGTTGGATTTTCAGAACTTAGGTCTTTCTTTTTTCTAGTATCCTAGTTTTCTGTATTATGAACTGATGTATCTTGTAGTGTTAAGTGTTCCTTCCTCCAAAAATACTATTTCTGATATGATTCTGCTAATCTATTTTCGTTTATGGTGTTAGTGTTGATTCTCAAGTGAAGGCGATTAGTTTCTACAAGCAGATCTATTAAATATTTAAGTCCATGTGGATTTGGTGGGACAGCAAGCAGGGGCTACATTCGTAGCCTTTGCTGGAGTTCTTCATGGCAGGAGTTGACATATCTTTTTGTGTTTTTTAAAATGTTTTTTTTTATTTTTAGAGAGAGGTCAGGAGAGGGATAGATAGAGAGGTAGAAACATCGATGAGAGAGAAACATCATTGATTGGCTGCCTCCTGCATGCCCCCTACTGGGAATCAAACCTGCAAACCCAGGCATGTGCCCTGACTGGGAATCGATCCAGCTCAACCATGCAGCCACTCTAGCTGGGTGATATATCTTTTCTAATAAATGAAATATTTAATTTATCATAAGTTGTTTATACATGTTTAAATTATCCTTTGGAGAATTAAATAATTCTGAGAAATTTATGTGCTAAAATAGACTGAAGTCTTCAACTTTTTTGAAACATTGATTCCTATTTATTCAAACATTCTAGCAAAGTAATGGGAGTTATTTAAATAAGGTAGAGTTTCTACACATCACAGCTTTCTTTATTTCCACCTCTTTAATCAGTTTGTTCCTTATCCATGAATGTAGATGGTTGTTGTCATGGTTAAATAGCCTTTCTTTTCCTTTTTTCTGCTTAACGTATTATATATTTTTTTTATTCTTTAATTTTTTTTATTTTTTTATTTTTAATTTTTTTTAAATTTTTTTTATTTACTAGAGGCCCACTGCATGAAATTCATGCACAGGGGCAGGGGGTGTCCCTCAGCCCGGCCTGCACCCTCTCCAAGCCAGGAACCCTGCGGGATGGTGCAAATGGTAAGAGTTCCTTCCTTTTTAGAGCAGCATAGTATTCCATCGTGTAGATGTACCACAGTTTTCTAATCCATTCATCTACTGATGGGCACTTAGGCTGTTTGCAGCTCTTAGCTATGGGGAATTGTGCTGCTATGAACATAGGGGTGCATATATCCTTTCTGTTTGGTGTTTCTGGTTTCTTAACGTATTATAAATACCAACTTGCTGTAGAGTCCTCGTGATTGATCATAATGGCTTTACAGCATTTCACCACGTTAGCACACCATGACTCATCTTCCCTCTGGTGTTAAAAATTTAAGGTGCTTTTCTTATTTTGTTTTGAGAGTTAGTCCCTCAAGGGTCTTCTTTGTGCATTTAGAGTCTTCTTTTGAATTATTTCTCTGGACTCCTCGGCCTATCAAAAAGATTTAGTTGGTGCTGATTGAACACGACTGTGTGCCAAGCACTCTTCTAGGCACATAGCAGTGAGTGGGGGAGTCAAGTTCTTGCTTTCCTTCCTATTTGAATGGGGAGAGGTACAGAATAACAAATATAAAATGTCAGATGGTTATAAGTGCTAGGAAGAAAAGGATCAGGCAGGGTAAGGACGAAAGAGCATGAAGGTGGTCTGTTTTAGGATAGTCTGGGAGGACCACTAGAACAGTAACATGAACCAGGTTCTGAAAGAAGTGAGAGAATGATCAGTGGGTCTGTCAGGGAAAGAATAATTCAGCAGAAGAGCAGCAGCCGCAAAGGTACAATCACACTTGGGGAAACAAGAACATGGCCTGTTTTCTCCTGTGCCTCAGTGTCTGTAGCAATGGTGATGAGGGCTGTGTTGGGAATTGGTGGTTGATAACGAGAGGACAGGATGGTTGATGGGTGCATGGTTGGTGGAGGATGGATAGCCGTGAATGAGTTCTTGTTCTGCGCTCCTATAGTCAAAGGGTGAATAGGTCAGTACAGTCATTCTTCCTGACTGGCACTCTCATTTCTAGGAACCTCTCCAGAGGAAGTAATTAGACTTGCAAATTATTTGCAATCACAGAACACAAGCAGTGCCCAGAAAAGAAATTGGTTTTGTTAAATTGTGTCACATCCATACAATGAAACCCTTTGTGTTCTCTTAAAAATGATGACATAGTTGTATGCATAGTTGTTTGATAAGTAGTTGCCTATATGTTTGTAAAAATGTTTATAGCAAAAAGTTGGAAGGGTTATATGCAAAGTCTTAAAACAGTAGATGCTTTTGCTTGGCAGTTCGACACATTGAGTTTTGATGTTTTTATGGTCTATGTTTTTAGATTTTTTAATAATGGATATATCTTATTTTTATAATTAAAAAGTAATGTTACTAGTGATAATAGTTATCAGCCTGCAGCCAGTTAAACTTTGCCATCGACTCTGCTATTATAGATCCTTTTTGTTAGACATTTTGTTATAACAACGTATTTCATTGGTTAAAAATGAAATCACTAAAACGCAGGCTTCAAGAATATTGGGTAGAAGAATCCATAGTTATTATTTGGACAAATCCCTCAGTTTCTGTGAGAAAGTTGTCTACTGCAGCGGTCGCCAGCCTTTTGGACCTCATGGACCACGAGTGGTCCGTGGACCATGGGTTGGCAACTGCTGATCTACTGCACTGACTCAGCAGTCCTGTCTCCTGGAGCAGGTGGGGCTCTAGCTTAAATGTGGCCCAAATTGCCTAGGAAACTTCTCCAAAATGTGCACATATGGGCTTGCGCACCCTACTCCCACCCAGACCACTTGCTGTCCACCCCAGAGAAATTCTCTTAACCAGAAGTGAGCAGCTGTCTCCTGCCCCGGTGCGGATCACTGCTCTGGGTAGTGGCTCAGAAGAAGGCAGGCAAGGTCTCTGCCTTGGAGGGCCTTTCACTGTGGGTGAGGAGGCCCAGAATGCCTGCAAGTGCGCACGAGCACCTCCGCATCAAGTTACTCACAGTGCACTCTGACCCAGAACCTTCTGTAAACCTACCCATGTGTTGGACAACAGCTTCCTTTTTTGCCCAATGCAGCACTCATTGAATTTTAGTTAAATCTTGTTGCTGAGTTGTTTATTGTTAGAACTTTTTGTCTCAAGAGAAATTGAACAGTTCTGCCATCATTGTGAAGAAGTGTGGAATTGATTCACTTCAAAGATGACACAGTACTACTCGTTCGTAGAAGTGAATTTCTTTGGAGAAGTGCATTTATTAAAAGCAATAAAGTCTTGGATGGTAGAGTTCTGTACAGGAATCTGAAACAACTTAACTCGGTGTTTTACTAATTTAGTGCTGATAGGAACCTCTGAGGTCTGCCTTGCTGGTATTTCTTCTCTCTGCTCGACAGATGAGGAACTGGAAATTAGTGACAAAGCTGGGATTAAGGCCCCTGGCTTCGATTTCTCAGCCTTGGCATGCAGATCTTCGGACTGCATCATGCCTCCAAGGATGGCTAACCTACTGTATCCATTTTTCCTTCAGACTAAAGCAAATCTTGTAACTCCAAGGAATGGAGAACCACTAATTGCTGCTATTCAGGATTTTCTAACAGGTGGGTTTGTGAAATCACTTAAAAGGAAACTGTGGAACAATGGTTCTCATTCACAATGGTTTTATATGAGAACTTGCAAAGCTATTTAATTGCCTGTGTTTCATTCTGTTGTTTGTTTACTAAGTTTAACTGTGAACTTATTTTTGAGATGTTTTGTATTGATTGATTGTTCATTGAATCAACAAGCATTTGTTGAGCTCCTGCATAGACCAAACATGTTTCTAAGCCCTGGGGATACAGCAGTGAGTAAATCAAACTCCTTTTACTCATGGAGCCTAAATTCTAGCTGGAGGGGGAGAGCCAGTAAGCAGCTGTATGTTTTGTCACTTTTTAAGTAATAGTCCATATTTATTTTTAATATATTTTTATTGATTTCAGAGAGGAAGGGAGAGAGAGAGAGAGAGAGAGAGAAACATCAGTAGGAGATGCTGGTAGGAATCTCAACTTTAAAATTGAAATGTCATTTTCTCACAGTTTCATTCCTTTATGTGTGTGTGTGTTTAACACTTTTAGGTGCCTATCTCCTTACTCTTAAGGACACTTTCTTTGACCGAGCCAAGGCATGCCAAATCATTGCTTCAATACTGGTGGGCAAGGATGAGAAAATTAAAGTTCGTCTCCCGCCTCCTACAATATTGAAGGTTTGTGCAGGAGCTGTGTGCGTATGTACACAGGGATATGTGTGTGTGTGTGTGTGTGCGCGTGTCCATCCCCATATGTCCATATGGATGTACCTGTGCCGATGCTGGGTTTGCATGTGATCGCTGTAGTCTTGTCTTATTTACATGAAAGGTGGTCCAGATCAGGCTTGGCCAGTTGATGCTCTGCCTTCCTTTCCTCCTCCAGCCAGTCACCCTGTGGACAGGAAAGCAGATCTTCAGTGTCATCCTCAGACCTAGTGATGACAATCCAGTGAGGGCTAACCTTCGAACCAAGGGCAAGCAGTACTGTGGCAAAGGAGAAGACCTCTGTATCAATGATTCCTGTGAGTTAAAGCAAACGGGGGAAGAGGGGTCAGAAAAGCAAATTAAGTGTTTCTCTAAGGCCTTAGACTGAGGCAGGAAATTTGTTCTTCAGGGAAATGTAGCTGATGATTCTCCTCTCAGATGTGATTTTCTTGTGGTTTTTTTTAATATGTTTTTACTGATTTCAGACAGGAAAGGAAAGAGGGAGAGAGAAACTTCAGTGATGAGAGAGAATCATTGATTGGCTGCCTCCTGCACACTTCCCACTGGGGATCGAGCCCGCAACCTGGGGATGTGCCCTACTGGGATTGAACCGTAACCTCCTGGTTTCCAGGTCAATGCTCAACCACTGAGCCATGCTGGCCGGGCTCAGATGTGATTTTCTATTTCTCTAAGGTAGAGATCCTGTAGATACATGGGCCAGTGATTAGAATGTTTTTCACCACGTGCATTTTGTCTTAAGTGACTGGTTTCTGCCCTTTTTTTGGTCTTAATTAAATTTATTGAGCTGACATTGATTTAGTTTCTGTCATTTAATGCAGTTTCATTTATTCTGCCTCTTGTTTTTTTGTTGTTTTTTTCATCAACCAGAGTCGCATTACTTAAGGCATCTAATTTCTTATTTTATGTCCAAAAAATGTGTTCATTGACTAAAAGTATGACTAAAACGTATAACAAAAAATATGAAGTTTTTTCCCTGCCTCACCTGGTTAGTGAATTTTCTGATAACATGAAGAACAGATGTTAACAGTGAGATTGATGTAAGTGCAAGCCAACTGAATCATGTAGACGAATGCAGCTCAGAGTCTGGTCTACAGACCAGTGCCATCGAGCCGGCGTTTCCTTTCTGGCATGAGCTCCTTAGTTTATCTTAGGCTGCTAACAAGAATGGGCTTTGCTAGCAAGGCCTTGTGACAGGAAATGGATCTATAGGACTCTGTGGAGTCTCCCTGAAGGTCAAGGTTTCTGCTGTCTTGTAATGAAGGTGAAATGTTTTGTAGAGCATTGGTTTTTCTCAGATTTATAATCATTACTTGGAAAATATGCTCCCAGGATTTTTAGATATTTTGGCTTGTTGTTTTATTTTGGTTTTTATTGTTTTTTAAAGCATCATGGTATTTATTTATTTATTTTAATCCTCACCCGAAGATATTTTTTCATTGATTGTTTTTAGAGAGTAGAATGGATGGGGAGAGACACAGAGAGAAACATTGATGTTAGAGAGACACATTGATTGGTTGCCCCCCAACTAGGGCTGGGGATCGAGCCTGCCATTTAATGCAATTTCTTTTATTCTGCCTCTTTTGTTTTTTGGGTATGTACCCTTGACCCGAATTAAACCCGGGACCCTCCCTTCAGTCTGTGGGCCGACGCTCTATCCACTGAGCAAAACCAGCTAGGGCTAGCTTGATGTTTTAGATTGTGTTTTGTTTATTTCTAGATGAGAATTTCACTTCTTTTGGTTACATAAGCTCTTCACAATGGTGCCCTATTAGTTTCCAATATCTTAGACCAGTGGTCGGTAAACTGCAGCCCCTTGAGTGCAGCTCTTCCACAAAATACCACATGTGGGCGTGCACATACAGTGCGATTGAAACTTCGTGGCCACACTCAAGGGGCCAAAGAGCTGCGTGTGGCTCGCGAGCCGCAGTTTGCCGACCACTGTCTTAGATGAACAACACAGTGCTCTACACTTTGGTTAAAAGAACTTTGCTATACACGATGTCATTGATGCCCAAAATATTCCCATGACATAGAGATGGCAAGTGCTTGATGTTGTCTTTCACAGTTCACAGATGAAGAGAATGAGGGCTAACTCGTATATTTCAGAGTTAGGACTATAAGGTAACTAATTGGGCCTTTAATGCTTCTTAAAAGACACTAGATTTCTCTTTTTGAGGAGAATTTCTATTTGCTCTGCTTTAACTTTAAATATGGAAACAAGTTTTCTCAACTACCTTCAATGCTTTTTGGAATGAAGAAAGGTGTATTAATTACCTGTTTAAATGCATAGTCACTGTTATCCTTGCAGATGTCACTATCCAGAATAGTGAGCTGATGAGTGGCAGCATGGACAAAGGAACACTGGGATCAGGATCCAAGAACAATATTTTTTACATTTTGCTGCGAGACTGGGGACAGAATGAAGCTGCTGATGCCATGTCAAGGCTTGCCAGGCTGGCTCCTGTCTACCTTTGTGAGTATCTCAGTATCCTCCTTTTAATGCAATATTTGCTGGGTTTAGGGGTTTCTTCTGCTATTGTTTCATCCCCCCCTCTCACCCCACACACATACGCTTATCTATTCCAAGCTAAACATTATGCTTTCCTCAGTGAAATGAGTGTAATACTGACTAATTGGGCTGCACATTTGCGTTGCTTTGCAGTCTCTTCTCAAATCTATAAGGGCTCCCTGTTGCCTACCAGATAGGATTGTGTTACATGAAGAGCCTTTTGAGGGCTGCTTCCAAGGTTCCTATGCATTCACTGTACCCTCTGGGCCTTCCATGATTCAGCCCTACCAGATTTTTCAGTATTTCCCTACTACCCTGGCACTGCTCTATTTCCTGTGTTTGCTCATGTTTTGAGCTTGCCATGAGTCAAGAGATCTTTACTGCCCCCAAACATCCTTAGTCTACTCTTAACTTGATTGATTCATTGGCTGGGTATAGAATTGTCCATTGAAAATTATTTAACTTTAGAATTCTGAGGATATTGCTCTATTCTGTTCTAGCTGCCTGCATTGCTATTAAAGTGTTATTTCCATTCTTATATCCAAATTTTTGTATTGAATTGTGTTTATATTCTGGAAACTTTAAGAATTCTCTCTTTGGTTTTGGCATTCTGAAAGTTCACAATGGTACATCTTTGGTATGGGTATTTTACCATTCATTGTGCCGAGCACTCTGTAAGTTCTCTTAGTCTACAATTATTTGTCCTTCAGTTCTGGAAATTTTCTTGGATTACTAGAGGCTTGATGCATGAAATTCGTGCAAGGGACTCAGCCCTTACAGCTCTGGCTTTGTCCAGAAGGTCATCTGGAAGGATGTCCGGAAGGTCGTTCAGCTGTCTGGTCTAATTAGCATATTACGCTTTTATTATTATAGATTTTTCTGGTAATATTCTTTCCTTTACTTCCTCGTTCTTTCTTTTTGGCATTTCTATTAATTGCCTACTAGAGCTCCTGGATTGACTCTCTCTCTGATTTAATCATTTCCTTGTTTATTTTTGTTTCTGATTTCATATTTCTTTTAACACGCCTATTGATATAAACATATTTTTCACTATCATATATTTAATTTCCAACCACTGTTTTTATCCTCAGGTAGTTCTTTCCTTTTTTCTTTTTTTAAAATATGTTTTTATTGATTTTTTAAATTTTTTTTTTTTTAGAGAGAAAGGGAGAGAGAGAGAGAGATAGGAACATTGATGAGAGAGAAAAATCATTGATCAGCTGCCTCCTGCATGCCTCCTACTGGGGATCGAGACCACAACCCTGACATGTACCCTGGCATATGCCCTCACCAGGAATCAAACTGGTGGCCTCTTGATTCCTGGGTTGATACTCAACCACTGAGCTACACTGGCCAGGCTCCTTTTTTCTTAAGGCTTCCTTTTCTTTTATTTTAATCCTCACTCGATATTTTTTCCATTGCTTTTTAGAGAGAGTGGAATGGAGAGGGAGAGACAGAGAGAAACACCTGATGTAAGAGAGACACATCAATTGGTTCCTCTGGCATGTCCCCAACCAGGGCCAGGAGCCTGCAACCAAGGTACGGGCTCTTGACGGACTCGAGCCCGGGACCCTTCAATCTGCAGGCTGATGTTCTATCCATCGAGCCAAACAGGCTAGGGCAAGGCTTTCTATTCTTGCTCCCCAGATATATCCTCTCTATCACTGTGAGAGAAAATTACTCAGTTTTATTTTATTTGCTCCCTGAATATCCTTTTAGTTTCTTTTTTCTGTGTGTTTGTTGTCCTCTGTCTTTCATGGTAATGAGGTTCCTCAAATATCTGGTTCCCTGGCTGTCATTCATATTTTATGAGTGAGGCACAAAAACACTGATTGGAAATGGAGCTGATTGGCTGATAGATCTCTCAGTTTATTAATTGAGCTGGAAACCAGCTTTTTGATTGAGGAACTGCCCAATATCCCTATTAGTCATGTTTTCCTCTAGAGAGACTTGGTTTCTCCAGAGACGTCTTTCAATCTCAACCTCCTTCCCTAGGATGGAGACCTGGCTGCTGGGATTCTGGGAGCTGGGCAGGGAAAGGGGCTAAGGAACCTTCGCCGTAGAATATGAAGACCTTCCCTCAGTGCCTGATTGGCAGTCAGCCCCATCTGTCTGCACCTAGTATCCCCCAATCCAGACTCTTTCTACTTGCATTTTTTTGGGTAGTAAACTCCCATCTCCCACAGGGACAAGGCCCCGGGCCTGTTTTTTGTGCAGACTTGACACTGGGTTTCTCTGTTTCCAACACATATACCAGCTCTAGCATCTGCAGAGCCTGGTGACCTAGTTTCTGAGCCTTTCCATTGGCCCTCATTTCCATAGCCACTTGTAGGCATCTTACTCCCAACCTCTCATCTGCTCACTTTCAATATCTATGGGGCTAGGGTTATTGATAGTGCATACCGTATTTGCCGGCGTATAAGACGATTTTTTGGCTCTGAAAAATATGCCTCCAAGTGGGGGGTCGTCTTATACGCCAGGTACACTTCAGATAGACTGCCCATAGTGCTTGCCCCGTGCCATAGTGGCCTCCTGATGCCCGGCCACTTCATTCCACATACCGTTCAGGCATCAGCAGCGCTGCTGGGTGTATGCTCGGCTGTTATGCGATTTTGCTGTTATGCGATTTTACCACACTCGCAAAATCGCACACAGCCGACCATACACCCAGTATGATAGCGCAAAATCGCGAATCGCGATACCATACTGGGTGTATGGTTGGCTGTGTGCGATTTTGCGAGTGTGGTAAATTCGGGTTACCGTATATTTCTTTACATATGCA